GAGAGGAGAGGAGAGAGGAAATTAATCTAATCCGTATATTTGTGGCATTTAAAGAAGTGACTCTACCATGAAAGACATTTCAATGGATATAAATACATTTCCCTTTGTCACATATCTGCGTCTCATCTTCACATATCCTCCTAGTGTCTTTAGGTCTTTATTTGTGAATCAAATGAAGGAATGTATTTCATGCTACACCAAGGCTCATGAAATCTATATTCTGCAACATTCATGTGGTTATTCATTATTAGGATATAGTATATTTAAAGAACTTTCTCCCAGTTGCTTCCTGCCCTCTGAGGCTTGGATGGTGGAGGTACAGTGTGTGTTGAGGTTAGTAGACGTCTTTGTCACGTACTAGAAGAAACTCTGCTTGTGGAGAGGTCCCAGCAGCCTCCAGTTCTCCCCGTGCTCCACCAGGTTAAACACCCTGTAACCCAGCTCCAGATCCTTATTGTTCAGACACTGTCACAAGCACAGAGAGAGAGGCAGGTCAGTGGACCAACAGAGAAACACAATAACAAAAGGCGCGTTCACACCGCAGTAATTTTCCCACTTTAGTTCCGATATAGTTCCGAAATGTCGCGTTCACACCAAAAAGAGCCGGAACTAAAATTAGTTCATGAGAAGTCAGGGACTTTCGTGGGAGAAAAAGGTTCCTATTTCTGATTGGCTGGGCGGAATGCAAACCACGCCTCGTAAAACTCCCAAAAAGTTTTGTGAAGCTGCCATTTCATTATCCTCGCATTAGCATTATTAGCATTATTAGCATTATTAGCATTAGCCCAGCGCACAAATGCAGAGAGACTAACTTATGGCAACACAAAAAAAAAAGATGGGAGCGGTGGAGATGAGGAGGTGTCGGCGTTCTGGCGATTTACTCGGAAGGCTTCAGTAGAAGCTGCTGGGACTCCCAGCAGCTTCTACTGAAGCCAGTCCCCAACTCCGGGGACTGGCTTCAGTAGAAGCTGCTGGGAGTCCCAGCAGCTTCTACTGAAGCCAGTCCCCAACTCCGGGGACTTCTGGCCGGGGACTCCGGGTGGCAGTATACGCCGTGAAGTGGTTTGCGGCCTGCCAGTAAACCCAAAGCAGAAGAAGAAGAAGTGACGTCAGCGGCTTCATTTGCCTAATCCTCCCCCAGGGACTTATTCCGGTGTGAACGCGATCTGCTCTTTAGTTCATGAGCACTAAAGAGTTCTCATGAACTAAGTTCTGATGAACCTTTGTGGGAAAAGAACTGCGGTGTGAAAGTGCCTAAAGAATGGGGAGACAGTCATCTGCATGACTTGAAATGTAAGACTTTGTAAAACCGATGACAGTTTGTATGTAATCAATGAAACGCTATCATCCAAGAAAAAAAAAGGTTATAGTTTAAAAAAAACATGCTAGGATTAATCAAATTGGATTTAAAATAGAATCAAAATAAGAATGTTTGAATTATTCCAAGGGAAACAGTTTTAGAATGGAAGAAAAATAACTCAAATAGAATAAAGGACATTTATATATAGGTTAAAGTAAGATTGAGAAACACATATTTACATTCAATTATTTACAACAAAAAAAAGAAGTTAACGTCAAATGTTATTTATATAAACAGTATTTGTATTCTTTTTCATTTGAAAGCAGAAGGAGTTATTCATATGTGAACAGTTCCCCTTGTGTAACACTTAAAGAATGCAGATCAATAAATAGCTTGATGGAAAAATAGGGTCGCAATTTAAAAAGAAAAACTTTGGATAAAGAAATTTTTTAGAAATAATTTAATAAAAAATACTTACTATTTTCATTGCGGTGGAGAAGAATAGAACTGGGAACAACAAATATCAGTAATCAGTATACATCTAAATATGGAAAGTGAAAAATGTATCCATATTTATGTGAGAAAAATGTATCGGTTTATCCTTTTTAGTCAGCATTTCTTCCTCACTTGCATATACATTACAAACCAAATAAGGACCAATTCGACACATGCACCCCAACATACCATCATCGGGGTCCTGGCAGGTGAAGCTTGTTCCCTCCAGCTCTGACATCACTTCCTGTAGAATGTCTGTGCTGACCGCGCCAGAGGAGGAGGCTGGAGAGGAAAGACAAAAGCAATGGATGATTTTTTTGATTGGACTTTTGATTGTTGCAAAACATTAAGATCTGTGGCAAACACACAGTTATGAAACGACGTGTTTCTTTCTATCGTCAGAAGTCAAAAGCTAACGTTAAGCTATAAACAAAGTACATTGTAGTAAGAGGACTTCATTTCCCCAACGCTAAGCTCAAGGTTGGGCATGATAACGTTTACTGCTCTCATTTCACTTGTTAGCAACCTCCACGTTTAGGACACATGGAAGCTTCGGACCAAACAAATGCTAACTCATTCCCAGGTTTTAAGATGAATTCCTGCACCACTCTATAGTGACAGACACACAAGTCTGTCCTGGTAATGTGAGTGTGTGAAGGAACATCGCTCTCACCTGCTTTGGAGAAGGCGTTCAGGATGTGGTCGTAGGAGGCCAGGCTGGGAGCTGAACACACAGAAACATTTTTTAACTGAAAACTATTATGGTTTTACGATTGTACCTCTCTGTGTGTGTGTGTGTGTGTGTGTGTGTGTGTGTGTGATGTGTGTGTGTGTGTGTGTGTGTGTGTGTGTGTGTGTGTGTGTGTGTGTGTGTGTGTGTGTGTGTGTGTGTGTGTGTGTGTGTGTGTGTGTGTGTGTGTGTGTGTGTGTGTGTGTGTGTGTGTGTGTGTGTGTGTGGTGTGTGTGTGTGCGTGCTGTGTGTGTTTACCTATCCCCATGGCCTTCATCTCGTTCAGAGTGTGTATGGCTTGTGTTTTGGCCAGAGAGCCGCAGCGCCTCAGAGCTTTCAGGACGCTGTTGAAGGTGGAGAGGTTGGGCTGGACTTTCTGCTGACTCATCTGATTCAGCAGCTCCTGCAGTGGGAAAAGAACAAGTGGATTCTTAACAATATGTGCCACATGAGTGACTTTCACTGCCACAAAGGGCTGAAAGGGATTTCAACATATATGGAGCCCCAAGGTGTATTCAGTCAAATAGTATGAGTACTTTATGAATAGAATGTGTGAAAAACATATGGGAAACAATCATTTTTGAAATTATTTAAGAAACGATTATATCATTTTAAAATGTTATTCTATCACTGTTATTTGCTTGAATATTTTATTTTATTTATTTCAAAATGCGCTTTAAAAAATGTTTTTATTTCATATGAAATAGAATAAGAGTAGTAAAAGAGTACTTCATAAAATGTGATTTACACTTTTTTATTATACTCCATTTATTATTATGAACATTCTTTTCATTATATCTTAATTATATATGTTGTGCATTTTGGTGCTATTTACCATTATTTTGGAAAATTCTTACAGTTTTTGGTAGAGCCAGATTCTACTTCATAGGGAATGGCACAGGGATGATAACATTTGAACTTCCTAAATCATTTATTGTTATTATGGGTATTTATTTCATAACATATATATTTGTATTATTATTATTATTATTATTATAATGAATTATTCTTTTAACATTTAATTATTTTACATTTTGGGGATCTAACCACTATTTATCTGAAAGTGTAGATCTCTTGAACATGAGGTCTGATGATATGCTGATAAGAAGACAGTCTTACAGCGAAGAGGCCCCATCTCTCGTGGTATTTGTCTCTGACGTCTGGAGCTGCGGTCAGCAGAGCGTTGAAGATGTGGACGTCAGCTGAAACACAAAGTTTCGTTTTGAGTCTTCTACTTCCAGAGCAGAACTTCCACAGGTTACCTGCAGACTCACTGAGACTACTAATGCTATCGTTTGCCATCGTCTCATGGTACGGTCAAGTAAAACACTTAACCCGACAGCAAGACACAATATCATAACCAACACAAACAAACATTTCAAAAATACACGACTACAACACAGACCTTTAACTGCCTGTTGAAATGAAAATAGATGGTTGAATCACTACATTTAAAAATGGTTGTAGAAGTTATTGAGCCTGTATTTAAATTGCCTGCATACAGTACTTTGTATAAGCCAGAGGTTTAAAGTAAAAAGGGAAAAATATACCAATGACCTACCATGTCCAACATTAACCCTATTACACTTTGCAATATGGACAATACTTAGGGTGTATCAAATACTCATCATTATCTTTATTTATACTAATAGAACATTATACATATTGTAATTGGAAAATGGTATTGTTGTTGGTATATATTGTAGTACAATGTGCCAATTTTTACTTGAAGTTCCTATGCTTATATCCATATTTTGATTTATTTAAAATGTCCGATAATTAGAGTACTCAGATTCTCATGAGGATTCAACCTGCAGTTTCTTTCAAATTGTGTTTGTATAGAAATAAAAGCCATTTCCTCTTCCTGTGTTCCCACTCACCGGTCAGTCTGTTGTTGAGCAGGTCTGTGTAAATGCTGAAGGCCTTTGCGTGGGCTCCGTGCTGGAAAGAGACACAAACATATTATATTTCATCTAGATGCAACCAAAATGGCCCCCCTGTTTCAGACCCCCCCCTGCAGTGAGGGTCCGTACCTTGACCATGCCTCTGATCAGAGCCGAGTAGCAGCGTGTGTCTCTCTCTGGCAGCAGGTTGAAGATCCGCTCTGCGTTGTTGTTCTCCTTCCAGCTGGACTTCATGATGTCTGAGGCCCGGCGCGGCCTCCCCAGGCCCTGCCTCCCCAGGCCCTGCTTCCCCAGACCCTGCTTCCCCAGGCCCTGCCTCACCTCCTCCCCAGGCTCCTCCTGACACACAGAGGGAAATACACACACTGTAGATTTAATACCATGTCTGAAGTTGTTGGGAAAATACTGAATGTCCTCTTCCAATATCAGAGTACACATGCTAACAAAGGTATCCCAACTGTAGCTGTGAACATGACAGGATGTATGATTACCTAGAAGAGCATCAGGACTGTTTTAGGCATATGATAGCTATGTGATTAACATGATGATTCAGCCTCTATGGAGATAGACATATGACAAGCATGATCATTTCTGACGTGGAGCTAATCTAAACTAAACATTGAATACTGCTTTCTATTCCTCCATCTTGTGACTGTGTAACTCCCTCTCTTGGATATCAGCATGTGAAGGACTCTGTTCAGGAACTAGTTGATGCTCTGTGTGTGATGACTACTTCCATTCTGGAGAGGATCACAAATACATGGATCCTGAGATTGAAGCTCAAGCCGGGGACGAGTGAGTTTTCTAACAGAAGTCTACAGCTAAAAGGTGACAGATTTGACTTTTTGTTGACATATATGAATAAAAAAGGGTTAAATATAAAGAAATACTTAATATTGCGTGTTTAATGCTTACATTAAATCAGAATACCTTTATTCGTCCCACAGAGGGGGAATGTACATACAATCATTTCTTATATGTTATTCCACCAACCATCTATCTATTAATGTATCCACCCACCCTCATCCATTTATTTAATCACTCAGAACATGCATTTCAAATGTTTTGAATCATTTATTTACTCCATACATTCTTTTTTATACGTTAATTAATTAAAATGTTTTTTTCTAAATAACGATGGCAATCTTGGGGCATTATAAACAAGATGTATTTAGAATTTGTTATTTTTATTGAACAGTGTAGAAAAAACGAATTGCAGTAAGTTTGATAATCAATAATAGTTTGGATCTTTTAAAAAATACAAACAAAATCAAAACGGCCAACTTGTGGTTCTGTTGTGACTATTTGTATATGTACTGTATTTTGTGTTTCACTTAACTCATTATTTATTGGAATTAGATCAAAACAACAATGGAGAAATGATTGGCAGGTAATTGATAATGGAAATAATTGTAGTTTCTTTGAAATCCCTCCTCAGGTTTGTATCAGCGATGACTCACCATGTCCTCTGACTGCGCCCCCCCCTCCTCCACAGGGTCTTTGTCACAGTACAGACAGATCAGGTCCAACAGGTCATAGGTAGTTTCCATAGAGACCGCTGTGCCTAGAAGAATTGAATCAAAAAAATAGATGTAGCAACATCCCTGAAAAAGAGAATGTGTGTCTTTGTCTGTGTGTGTGTGCGTGTTCTCACCAGACTGCAGGAGTTGGTCGTACATTTCAACAGCAGCTGTAACTTTCCTCAGGCTGACTCGTTCCTTCAGCGCCTCCTCACTCACATCCTCCAGGAGCAGTGACACCGTCTCTGGCATCAGACACTACACACACACACACACACACACACACACACACACACACACACACACACACACGGTGCTGAGAAATTCCCACTGCACTTTAAATCAACTCTATTTATATAGGAAAGCAGTGCAGTGACTAACTCTTTGCTTATTCAAGTAAGGATTCCTGTCAAAACCCCCTAAAAAGTATGCTCCATACATCCACAGTGGAAGATTAAACAGTGATGGCCAAAAAGAGTGGTGCAGGAATTAGTCCTAAACCCGGAAATGTAGTTAGCATTTTAGTTCTTCTGGTTCCCTCGTCGAGCATTCAACGTTTTTGGTTAGAAGCCTAAAATAAGGTGTGTGGTTAACACAAGATAAGGTTTTCACAGTTTGATATCAAATCCGTCAGTAAATACCCCTCATGAATGTCTGAAGCTGCTATGTGTCATAAAGACAGCGGTTGCTAGGGGACTAAATGGCTACTACTACTAAACATCATCATGCTGGACCATTAGCCCGCTTTAGCCTAGCGGTGGTGACGTGGCGCCATGTGGCCGTGATGTAATTAGTTCATAGCCTAATGTTAGCTTTTTGCTTCCTGCTATTGCATTTATGCTTTAACTCTTATACAAGTGGTGTTAATATGTGGAGATGATCCTGTTGAACAAAATGTGGAAGTATCATAAATTTGTGTTTGCCACAGAAATTCCAAAATCTAATGGAACTGCTATGCTAATGTCTCTGTCGGCCTACAAAATGCGTCTTTACTCCAACAATCTGCAAATGTGTGTGTGTGTGTGTGTGTGTGTGTGTGTGTGTGTGTGTGTGTGTGGGTGTGTGTGTGTGTGTGTGTGTGTGTGTGTGTGTGTGTGTGTGTGTGTGGTGTGTGTGTGTGTGTGTGTGTGTGTGTGTGTGCTTACCGGTATATGTGGTTCAGCGAAGTCTGTGGTGAAATACTTGGGATTATTGTTGATAAAGAATTTGGCTGCAGATTTGCCAGACTCCTTAGAGAGAGAGCACAACTTCTGCAGGGAGACACAACGACACAGGCTCAGTTACAAAACATATATTACAAATATTTATATTACAGCAACATACATACAACAGCAATCTCTTTTGTTGCTCAAATCCAAATGTACTGCCATTCCAAAATGACCACCATTAAGCAGAGATAGAAGAAGTACTGATGTTTTACATTAGTGAAACTAGCAATACTACAGTATAGCAATACTCGGTTACAAGCTTAAGTCATGCATTAAAAATTGTTCTCAAGAAAAAGTACAAAAGGATTAGTATTCAAATGTACCAAAAAGTAAATGTAGTCATTACGCAGTATTTCAAAATCAAACACATTAAATATTTGTATCATAATTATTCATGCATTAGTGTGTTCATCACTTCAATGTTGCAGCTTATAAAGTAAATGTGGGGTGGTCCAAATTATAATAAATGTAATAATAATTTGATTTATACTGCATGTCATACTACTGACTGTAATCTGCTAAATAAATGTAGTGAAGTAAAAGTATGAAGTAGCTTAAAGTGAAAATACTCAAGTGAAATATACTTGAGTAAATGTACTTAGTTACATTACACCACTGTTGTTGTTGTAGATACTAATACATTAAGTTGCCTTCAACAACCCATAGGTCCCGATATGAGGGGATAAAAATGACAAATGGGATGTCGTGTTTTTTTGACGTACAAACTCATTAACTGTCCTGGGCGAGAGGAAAGGATCATCCTGGAAGTTGTGGGGATATGCTGTAGGATCCTAGAAACAGAAACAATTATAATATATGAACAAACAGGCACACAGACAGATAAACTAGCAAACTGTTTCAGTGAAAGTTCATCAGATGAAGCTCTCACCCTGCCAACAGTGGAAGACAGAGCCTCCAGCACCGCCTCTTTGCTCCTGTTCAATGACAAAGGACACATTAGTCTGGCATAAAGACACCTGATGCAAATGTAAAATACAAATACTGACTTGATTTACAAGCGTATGTAAATGGGCCTTTAAGCATATGGACACTTACCATGTTTTCTTCCTGGGGATGACGATAGTATCTGTAGGTTCTGCAACAATATTGGGAAAAAGGTGTGATTGAGTGTAATGTCACCAATATATTACAACAAATTATAAGTAATGCTTTGATGTAGAACAAAACTAACAGACATTTATTCAACATCTAAACATTTTCCTATAACTCAAATTTTCCAATTTAAAGGATCAGTTCTTCTTCTTTACCTGCTGCTGACAATGGAAATCTTTAAAAATGGGACATGAATTTGTAGTTTGTTCCTTTTGGCAAAACGTTTTCCCTAAAAAAGTAATATTTAAAATCGAACATCACTCGAAGATTAGTGCATTTTGACAGATTTAAATTCCAGCTGCAGATTAGAGCACATTGCTCTAGAAGTTACATGTAGGGCTGCAGGATTGTATAAACTCAAATAAACTGCATGATGAACTTTAAATAAACATGTCACCCTGTGCTAAAGTTAGGGTTATGTTTCTGAAAAATGAACAGAGGAATAACCCATATCCAACATATATTCGTTACTAGGCAAAAGTTCATCCGTCTGATGAATGTTTTCATGTTTTTCACAATATAAAAAACATAGCCATCCATATCCGGTTAGCAGAGGTGGACAAAGTAATTATACTTTTTACTTGAGTAAAAGTAGAAATACACCAGTCTCGGAATACTCTCTTACCAGTAAAAGTCCTGCATACAAAATCTTACTTGAGTAAAAGTACAAAAGTATTGGCATCAAAATATACTTAGAGTACCAAAAAGTAATGTCCCATTTTAGAATCATTACATTTCGGTATAATGATTATTGAAGCATTAATGTGTTCATCACAGCTGTTAAAGGTGGAGCTTATATAAATACTTTATATACTGCTGCTCGATATCTTAACCTATCATTTTATATCATAGTTAATTTATTATAATATCTATTTGTTAAATAAATGTAGTTGAGTAAAAACTACAATATTGGCTTCCAAAATGTAGTGGAGTAGAAGAAAAAAATAAGCATAACATGGAAATACTTAAGGAAACTACAAGTTCACCAAAATCTTAGATAGGTGCAGTACTTTTAGCCGGTATTTGCACATCTGTACACAAGCAACCTCTTATCCAATTTCCATAACAATACTGCACATATTTTATTTCAGTTTATTTTTATTATTCTAAGTACTTGGCAATAGTATACTGCACGTAGTTTCATTTTTGTACATCCAGATTACATGTAAATAATTGTACTATATCCTAACATATAATAGTTTAAATTATTCTGATTTTATTCGTTGGTTGTTATCTTACTTTTTATCTTCTTTAACTGTGTTTATGTATGCACCTTGAATACCAAGGCAAATCCCTCATATGTGTAAACCTCCTTGGCAATAAACCAGTTCTATTTCGTATATGGCTTCGCCCTCTAAGGCTATCGCTATTGGGTAATCCCCCTGCACACCCGCGCAGCACTGAAACACTTGTAGTCCACGCCCACCCGCAAGGTGGGCCCCACCCTCGGGCTCCCTTCTGGTATAAATAGGAAGGAGGCCCGACAATCTGCTCCCTCTTTTCTTCAGCACGCGTACGCGGCTCTAAACCAGCAGCTAGGCATGCACCCACTGTGCCCGTCTCCCCTCGGGCGACAGGAAGCGAAGAGCGGACGCTCTCGCTGCTGCGGCCGAGGAGGACGATTGGCCCGTCCAGGCTTACGAGCCCGTGGACGGGGGCCTCGTGTCCCTGGAGCCGAGTGCTGGGCAGGAGTCGGACGACTCCTACCCCGCCTCCCTCCACGGTTCCTTCGGTTCTCCCCTCCCTCCTCTCCCCCGGACAGGGGAGACAGAGTCGGAGCAGGGTGCTAGCTTGGCGGCCGAACATGCAGTCCCCTTCTCCGTCACCACAGCGCTACCGGCGATAGGTGGCATCCTAGGGGAACTGCCGGAGATTAGGGATGTCCCGATCACCTTTTTTTGCTCCCGATCCGATTCCGATCATTTGATTTTGACAATCTGCCGATACCGATTTTTCCCGATCCGATCTTTATGCAATGCATTAAGAGGAAAAAAAAGGTAACGATAACGGCTGGTCATCCAACGCGATGAATTCAGCTATCTTGGCTGTTATTTTTTTGGCCTTTTCACTGTTCTGGGGTAGTTTCTCTTTCCTTTTAAAAGTCTCTGAAAGTGTCGGTTGTTTCAGTGCCGTTACCTGAGTGGCCGCTGTGTACTCGTCGTGTTGTTGTTGGTGGTGGTGTTTGTATTAGATTGGTCATGTTGAACGTAGCTCTGTTCTTTCCACCACGCGGAACCTCCGCCTTGCAAACATTGCATCTGGCTGTTACACTGCCTTCGCTGTCAATTTTATAATACTTCCAAACTCCTGACATTTTCTCTGTCCCGAGTCACCAGCTGAACGTAGCCTCTTGTTAGCTTACTGCTACTATTAGACACTGCGCCCACTCTGTTGCCAGATTTGAGAGAAATAAGCAACCAGGTCTATGAAAACAAGCCCAAAAGAAGCAACACATACATGATGTTGTGTAATTTTAAACCAAAACTAAGGCCTCAGGATGACTTTAAGACGTGAACATGGTCATTTTTGTTTTGTAACATTAAATAAAATGTATAAAAATATTTTATAAAAAAAAAAAAAAAAAAAAAAAAAAAAAAAAAAAATCCGATCCCCGATTTTTTTCTCCCGATTCCGATCTTTTGAAAATCACGTGATCTGCTCCGATCCCCGATCACGTGATCGGATCGGGACATCCCTACCGGAGATCATACGCAAGGCGGCCGCCTGCAGAGATCTCCCCGTTCCCCTAGCTCAGGAGGGGTGTGCGGCGAACCCGAGGACCCTGAAGGCTCCGGTGGCCACATTTGTTCCCCTCACCAAGGTGGAGGGGTTCACAGATGCTGGTTTCCCAGCCACCCCTTCTCTGGAGCCGAGTCTGATGGCGTTTTTTGGGGTAAGACAGGCCAACATGATGGCCGGACGGCGCCCTACGTTGACCGCCCCCAGAGACCAGTATGTCGTCCACCAGGCCGACCGGGGTGCACCAGTGTGCCTTTCAGGCGTCGGCGGCGGCGAATAACATCGCGCTGCTCTCCAACTCGTGGTGACGCTGGTAGAGTGGTCCACCACCTTGGCCGCTGACGAGGCAGAGGAGATCAGCAAGGCGGCCAGCACGGCGCTCACTCTGTGCGTGTCCGTCGCTGTCTCCCAGGCGAGGATTGCCGCGTGGGTGACACAGATCCAGCGCCACCTCTGGCTGAAGCAGGCGTCCGTTACGGAGACGGCCAGAAAAGTGCTGCTGGACGCTCCAATCACGTGGCGTGGCTCATCGCCATGACGACCACAACACATCTTGAGCATGTGCGCCCGCTCTCAGAGTGGCAGCACATGTGTCTGATGGACAGATGGATGAGCAGGCTGATCAAGCAGAGGGTACACCCTGCAGTTCGCCTCTTCCCCCCCCCACAGTTCAATGGGATACAGGAAACACTCCTGTCATCCCGGAACAGTATCTTGCGCTCGATTCAGAGCTGCAGGAACTCCTGTTGAAAGAGGCTATTTCCAGGGTTCCTCAAAGGGAGGAAAATCAGGGGGTTTTACTCCCGTTACTTTTCTAATCCCATTTCTTCAAAGTGTGTATAAGGCTGGAGCCACTACACAGAGGAGGGATGAGAGTGTGGTTTTATCTGGACGACCTGCTATTGCTGGCTCGCTCCAGGGAGGAAGTCGCTTTACAGACGTTACATCTCGTATCGCATCTGTCAAAGCCTGGGTTTCAGAATGAATTGGAAGAAGAGCTGTCCTCTTCCCTCTCAGACAATCATTTATCTGGGAGTGGAATTAAACTCAGCCAGCAGGAGAGCGTAGCTCTCGCGGCAGCGAGTGGAGAAACTGACAGCCCTCCTCCGGCGTGTCACAACCCGCACAGCCCTCTCCGTCATGCAGCTGCTCGGCGTTGACGTCAGCTGGTCACGTGGCGATCCCCCTGGGTGTCTTCCAACAGGGGGAGACTCCAGAGGTGGTTCATTTGCTGCAGAAGCCTGCTGTTTTTAACCTATTGGTTTATAAACTGCAGAGTCCCAGAATGCTGACGATCAAACAGGTGCTGGAATGTGTTCACCAGGACGACTGGTTCACTTCCATAGACCTGAAGCATGCACGTATACTTCCATGTACCCATCATCCAGAAACACAGGAAATCCCTGCGTTTCTCATTTCAGGGAATATCAGACCAGACAATCGTCTGCCGTTCAGATATTCCCTGGCTCCTCGCACATTTTCAAGGTGTGTAGAGAAGGCTGGAGCCACTACACAGAGGAGGGATGAGAGTGTGGTTTTATCTGGACGACCTGCTATTGCGGGCTCGCTCCAGGGAGGAAGTTGCTTACAGACGTTACATCTCGTATCGCATCTGTCAAAGCCTGGGTTTTTTCATACATTGGAAGAAGATCTGTCCTCTTCCCTCCCAGACAATCATTTATCTGGGAGTGGAATTAAACTCAGCCAGCATGAGAGCGCGGCTCTCGCGGTTCTCGCGGCAGAGAGTGTAGAAACTGACAGCTCTCCTCCGGCGTGTCACATCCCGCAGCGTGGTGACAGCCCTCTCCGTGATACAGCTGCTCAGCATAACGTCAGCTGGTCACGTGGTGATCCCCCTGGGTCTCCCCCACAGGAGGAGACTCCAGAGGTGGTTCATTCGCCTGGGCATCAACCCCGTGCGTCAGAGGTAAATGTGCTGGGGCTGCTCTCCGTTTTGGGAAGTATTCCAGCACTTCGCCCCGTTGCTGTACAATCAAACATGTGTTGGTTCGCACAGACAACAGGCCACGGCAGCCTACCACAATCGCCAGGGAGGAGTACGATCTGCGCAGCTTCTGAACGCAGCCAGGCGACTGCTGTTCTGGGCGCGCACACACACGTTGCTCTCCATCAGAGCAATGTATATTCCCGGCGAATTGAACAGAGGGCCTTGCAGAGCGCAGGATCACCCCCCTCTGGGGGTAGACGCGTTTGCACATCGGCCGTGGCCTAGGGTGCTGTTATACGGTTTTTCCCACCAGTTCCGCTGACCCCTCGGTTCCCGGACTGAGTGCGGGAGAAGCGGCTATCAGCGGTCCTGATAGCCCCGGAGTGTCCTGGTTTCCATGCCTACAGCGTACGCTGTCAGGCAGACCGTGGGAGACTCAGACCTGTGTCACGCACACTGGCGGGTCACGCGCACTGGCGCCTCAATGGGATTTGGCTTTGGTGTTACGCGCACTAAGCAAAGCCCCATTTGAACCTTTAGATCAGGTTCCCCTTAAACTGTTATCAGCCAAAGCAGTATTACTTTTGGCTCTATCAGCGAAAAGGGTGAGTGATTTGTCTGCTCTCTCTGTGGCTCCGTCATGTCTCCGGATCCAAGGAGATGGCAGCTCAGCTGTTTTACGCCCTAACCCGGCTTTTATGCCAAAGGTCATCATGAGCTCTTTTAGATCAAGAGTGATCACCTTGGATGGCTTATTTCCTCCCCCTCACAGGTCGGAGGAGGAAGCCACATCTCATCTCCTCTGTCCCTGCTTTGCGCCGTTCCCAGCGCCTGGTTGTGCATTACAGAGAGCGCTCATTCGGGCAGCCTCTGTCTGCACAACGGCTGTCACACTGGCTGTGTGAGGCTGTGTCGCAGGCATATGTCTCCTCTGGGGTGGATCCCCCGGAGAACATCAGTGCGCACTCCACCAGAGGAATTTCCTCCTCCACGGCTTTGCACGGAGGAATGTCGGTGGAAGACATTGCAGAGAGCTGCCCTTGTTCCCCCCTTTTGTTTATCGCTGGACAAAGTGTGACCTTAGTCTCTACTTTTTCACAGCGGCAGGTATGTATTGTTCCCAGCCTTCGTCCCCTCATGGAAAATATTCATGTTATGCTATATTCCAGGGACTGTGATGCACCATTCGCATGGCGCAATAGGCATGGGTTATTATCTGAGCAGGTGTGTCTGTGCTTCTAGTACCGGGCGGACCCAGTGGGGCGCAGACTACATCTTGCTTCGCCCTTAACCCAATAGCGATAGCCTTAGAGGGCGAAGCCATATACGAAATAGAACTGAAGTTACCTACTGTAACTCCAGCTTCTATGAGTATAGGCGTAGCCCTCTAAGTTCTGGGCCCCACTGGCTCCACGAATAGCTTAAGAAAAGTTGTTTTGTGTGGGAGCAGATTGTCGGGCCTCCTTCCTATTTATACCGGAAAGGAGCCCGAGGGTGGGGCCCACCTTGCCTGGTGGGCGTGGACTACAAGTGTTTCAGTGCTGCACGGGTGCGCAGGGGGATTACCCAATAGCGATAGCCTTAGAGGGCTACGCCAATAGTCATAGAAGCTGGAGTTACAGTAGGTAACTTCAGTTTCTGATTCTGATTGAGTAAATGTACTTCAATACGTTACACCACTGCCTGTTGGTTAGTTGTAAACGGAAGCATTAACACTGATACAATTTTACTCAAGGATTATGACTCCTACATTGAAAGCATTTTATAACGAGCCCTTGACAAAAAGATGACAACATATTGAAGCAGTTACGATTTCCTTACACTGATATTGTCTGTAGTGACAGTGTATCAATCATGACCAAAATCTTAATCCAAAAATTACCTTTATTAGCTTCTGCGGCTTGTTGTCGCAGAGCTGAAGTCCAACCAAAATTCCTGGGAAAAAACAAACATATTAAGTAAAAGAAGTTACACTTTGGGTATGTTATCTTTACTTTTAACATCCCCTGATCAGTTTTCATGCACATTTTACGCAGCGCACTCAATCTAAAAACGGATATTGTACATATTTGTTGTCCCTAGTAATTTTTCATTTTGTACTTTTTTTATAATTGTATTCTGTTTTTGACTATTGCAGCAATTAACCAAGCGAAAGTATTCTATTTCCTCTTGATATATTTACTGTATGCAAACATTTGGTTCAGGGGCATAGAGGGTAAATCCACTAATCGTCAGATCACCGGTTCGATCCCCGCATCCCCCAGTGACACTTGTGCAAAACACTTAACACCAAATTGCTCCCCATGGGTGTATAAATATGTGGTTGAATGGAAACATTTTGGCATGTTGTGTTAGCGCTTTGATGTGGCTAAAGAAAGCGTTATACAAATACAAGTTCAGTTCATTAAGACGTGACCTCCTGTCAAATTATGCTAGCTGCAGCTGTAGTAGTACAGTGACCGCAATTAATATAGACTAAAGTCGACTGATCTATATTCTGCTTTAAAACAAACATGTCTTACCTGTGACTCCATAGCTGTTCGAAATTATTAAGCAAAATCCGACTGTTTCTTTGGATATAATGCCCTACGTGCCTACCGGGCGCCGCCATGTTGTTACTAACTGAAGGCTTCTGGGAGGGAGAAACCATGTGGGCTGTGAAAAGGGGAGAGCACAATAATAACACATTGTATTTTAAAGAAATACTACTCTTAATTCATACGTGTCCTCGAGCAAGCTACAATTTTAACATAGAGTAATATATTCCAATAGCACCATATCCCCTAGCTTTATGAAAAGTCTATTTATCTGTTCTTGTCTCCCCCCTCTAATTTTACGTTAGGTCCCACGATCCCTCCACGTGCAGACCAGGAGCAACTGAGTGTCGCATGTGGTTCAACTGTACGCCATGAATTGATATCAATAAAACTCCTCAAAGCTAGCTTAATTCTCCGAAAATGTTGTTTAGTAAAGAAGTGCCATGGCGGCGGCTGGAAGGCCTGTCGTTTGGCATGTACTCAGCTGAAGAGATAAGGTGAGAAAAGACATGTTGCTAGCTTTTGGACTTAATGCTAAACATGAGTTGAAAACAACATGCCTGCTCATCTCAGCATGCTTTAACGTCATGTTGTACATATTTAAGCTCAGAGTTGCTATGTCAATGTTCATAATAGATATGTTGTATTTGTTTTGTTTACGTCAATTCATTTTATTCTGTTAAATTGGTTAGTCTTCTGTTTTTCATATACATATCTTGTTGTGTTTTATTAATAAGTGACATATCTTGCATGTCCTCCTATCTGAAACATGCTAATTTATTATTTATCTGTTTATATCAAATGTTCGCTTATTATTTTTCGTTAAACACTTCGTTACTTTTCTTTATAGTACTAAAAATACATGTATTATTTATATTTTTTCATTTCCTCCATGGATTAACTCTTCAAGGTCCTATTAAAATGACACTAAACCGACTTAATTCAGATTACACTTTAATAATATAGTTATTCCCTGCAGTGGTAAAATAACCCAGAAATGTATATGAATTCAAAATAACTGTGGAGTCTGTTATTATAATGATGCATCTTTCCCATTTCCTGTCCAGGAAGCTGAGTGTGAAGACGATCACTAACTTCAGGTTCCTGGATGCCGTTGGGAATGTGGCCCCAAACAGCCTGTACGATCTGGCCCTGGGTCCAGCAGACAACAAAGAGGTACGCCTCCACTGTTATAATATAAATTGCACACGTGTGTATGATACAGTAATGATGACACATCTGTTAAATGCTGTACCTGTATCTGTTGCATATATTGTGCGCTGTAACTCAGCAAGTACTTAAAATAAAAAATAAATCATGTTTCATTCCGTATTTTTTACCAGGTGTGTTCAACCTGCTGTCAGGACTTCAACAACTGTCCCGGTCACATGGGGCATGTGGAGCTACCTCTACCTGTTTACAACCCGCTGTTCTTTGATGTAAGCCGATCCACGAATGCACCACAAAACTGTACATACACATGAACTACTTAACATGTTAACTTTATTACTGTGTGTGATTCTGTCAATGTTAGATGAGCCTTAGGGGTTCAAATCTGATACATTAGCATTAACTTTCTGTCAACGCAAGTTGCTCGAATTTATTATGATTTTCAAATACAGAACAGGCTTTCTGCTCATTTGACTGATCTGATCCAAACTCATGGTTTTGATTTTCTTCAGATTATTCAATTGTATTGTTAAGAGCCAACGTTTTTAGTGGATTCATTTATTAGTTCACTAAACATTTTCATAACCCATACATTATTTTGTCAACAAAATTGAACAAAAAAACATACATTTTCTGTTTCCTGCTCAAGTGGGATTAGATTTTTTTTTTTTAATTGATCATTTTTGCACTGTTGGTTGAACAACACAATTAAGAACATACCTTTCAGATATGCAATATGTTTATGTTTATGTATTTTTAAAGATGATCTCCTAAATTATGATTAGTTTCAGGCTAAATCACTTTCTGAATTGACAATCCCTGCTTTTATGATTTTTGTACTAACATCTTTTGACCGGTAATATAATGTTATGCCATTATTTCACCTTCTTCTCACCTCCTCCATCAGAAACTGTACCTGCTGATCCGTGGCTCGTGTCTCTCATGTAACATGCTGCTGTGCCCCCGCGCCGCCATGCACCTGCTGCTCAGCCAGCTGCGGCTGCTGGACCACGGGAACATGCAGGAGGTGTACCAGGCGGAGCAGGTCCTCAGCAAGGTGGGTCTGAAGCACCTGGGGAATCTAGTGATGGAGATTGGTACACATGGTGTGGGCAATATGACCAAAAATCGTATCACGGTACAAGTACATTCATATCAAAACGTGATATATCAAAGTCAAAGTCAAAGTCAGCTTTGTTGTCAATAATTCTACATGTTGAACATCCAGAAATATCGAAATATCGTTTCCCGCAGTCCTACAGTGTGACATATATACATCAAACAAAAAACAAAAAGGGCCTAGATAAACATGGTATACATTAAACAAAACAAAGGGCCTAGATAACCGGGGTATACAGTTTAAAATGTCAATAATATAATTTAAGTGTTTAAAGTACAGTTTCAGTGCAGTAGCAGCCGAGATGGGCAGAAAAGTGAGTTAGGGGGTTAGAGTCCAGGACCATTTGGGGCAGGGGAGAAAGGTCGGAGGCAGGGTGGAGAGTTCAGGGGAGAGATGTCAGAGGGCGGAAGAGATGGAGGGAGGAGAGAGAGTTCAGCATCCTGACCGCCTGGTGGAGGAAGCTGTTGCCCAGCCTGGAGGTGCGCGAGCTGAGGCTAAGGAACCTTCTTCCTGAAGGCAGGAGGCTGAAGAGGCTGTTGGAGGGGTGGGTGGAGTCACCCACAATGCTGAGTGCTTTGCGGGTGAGGCGGGTGTTGTATATGTCCTGTAGTGAGGGGAGTGAGGCACCGATGATCCTCTGGGCAGAGTTCACAATGCGCTGCAGGCTCTTGCGGTCGGCGGCGGTGCAGCTTCCGAACCACAGCGTGATGCAGCTGCTGAGGATGCTCTCGGTCTATATATAGATTATATATATATATATATATATATATATATATATATATATATATATATATATATATATATATATATATATATATATATATATATATAATATAGACTACTTTATCGCAAATGGTTTTTATTTTTATTTTATTAACTTCACATGAGACAATGCTTGAGTTAACAAGAAAAGACACAAACCAGTAAAAGTTAAGAGAATCAAAATGGATATTTTAAGGTTTTAAGTGTTAAAGGTTTCCAGCTTAACAGGTGCAAATATATATACTAGCCTAACTTCGGTTTATGCAATATTAAGTCATATTAAATAACACAAATTAGTATTTTACAGTAAATCGGTCAATGTAGAATTTGCTCCTTTTTATATTTAAATTGATAAAACACTGACAACAGAATCAGTCCTCACGTTACCGTTCACCATAATTGTGATTATATTATTTTTTGCAGATGTGTGAATGAACTGTTTTCAATGTAATCTTTATTTTCAAAATGTCTGTCAGCACCTGGAGGAGAACCCCAAAGCCACAGGAGATGAGATCCAGCTGGTGCTGACGCAGTTTACAGACAGCATAGTCGGAGTAAACACTGAAGGCTCAGCGAACACCAAACCGGTGAGTACACAACACACACACACACACACACACACACACACACACACACACACACACACACACACACACACACACACACACACACACACACGGACTGCACTCCATTACAAAAATCACAAAGTGTGTTTGAATATAGAATCTATAGTGTCATTGTGTTTTCAGATCAAACACCTTGTTGAAAAGAAGTACAGTTTGATCAATGACTTCTGGAGGATCCATATGAAATCTAGGAAGTGCCCTTACTGCAGGTAACATGATAAAAGTGGTTTGGCCTTTACTTGATTGTGATTAAATGTTGGTCTGAAATACTTTCTGTTGAAAAGCTGAACCATGTACAGTCTTGTCTTTAGTCGTGTGGAACCAGTCACACTTTTGTGTTTCTACTGCACCGTAAGGCACAACTCCACTCAAATAGACTTTTTTGTTTAATTCTCAAATTAAATGGTCAATGTGTCATAGGACAATACAATGAGGTGATGACATGTTGGACAGACTTGTAAACTGCAACTTGACTGTTTTCAAGGTGGTTATCTTAGTTATTCGCTTGACCCGTTTTTTAAGGGGCCTGTTATGCTCATCCAGGTCATATTTGTATTTAGCTCCTCTACTGTGACATGTCTCCATACTTTAATGTTCAAAAAGCTCTTTATTGTTCTCATACTGCCTGTGCTGCATCACCTCTTTTCACCCTCTGTCTGAAACCAGAGCCCAGTCTGCTCTGATTGGCTAGCTGCCTGGCTCTGTTGTGATAGGGATATAAGCCTTTGCAGACCATTTACATGCACACAAACCTATATAACACACTACAGGAAAGGGAAAGCCCAAAAAGCATAATGGCCCCTTTTATTAAATAACCCTGAGAATGCAGTCTCACACAGGATATCATCCAGCAGGGGGCAGTGTTTGCTAACAGGTCTACTCACAGATTAAACACCTGTACTAACTCACTGCAGTCTGTCTATCAATACTATTGAGTCCTCATTGCTTTTTGCACACTTCTAAGCCATATCCAGAGATGAAACGGTGTGTAGCCAAGGCCCAGGCTGAAATAACAATGTATTATTGTATTTGTCTTTGGACCATTTGTTTTCTATTTGTTGTCAGTTTTCAGCAATTGGTAGCCTGTTCCTCTTTATTAAGTGAATGTATGTCAGTGTTTCCCACAGAATTTGATTCTATTTGTGGGGGCACCGCACCCCCCTCCCCGGCAAGCAACGCCAAAGGCCCCTTAACCCCCCTCAAATAAGAAAATACATGCGAGTTCATGGCTACTGTAGACAACGTTCTTGTTGCTCTGTGTTGCTTTGTTAATGAGTGAGACACACCGGAGTTGAGGATCTGTGGGGTTTATTCTCCCAAAAATATAATTTACAATTTACAATTTAGGCATTTAGCAGACGCCTTATTCCAAAGCAACTTACAATGACCAATTACAGGGACATTCTCCCTGGAGTAACTAAGGGCTAAGTGCCTTACTCAACTTTTTAAA